AAATTTTGGCATACATTTTGTATTTTTGGATGATAGAATCTGAGGATTATGTCTGTATCTTTTAACCTACAATTTTTATGTGGATAGTTTTAGAGTCCACTATTCTGAATAAATTTCCCAGGAGAAAAGTGAGTCTTTCAATATGTCAATTTAGACCATTTTTGTGTTTCCATTGTTTTCCTTCTCGACTTTAATGCCTCTAATTACATTTTCAAAATCACAATTTAAAATCTACTCTTTCTTGGAACTTTGCCATTGAGCCTGCATTTCTAGCTGATACTTTATTTTCCTTCCATTTTTTTCCTGTGTTTGGTTGAATCTCATTTCATACCTTCTTATTTAGTATCTGGTTTTATTCTGGGGTCTTGTGTATCTGGCTCGAGGTGTTTTTTCCTCACTTCATAGCTTTTCATTTGGCCATTGGAGATTTATTCTGCTTTATGTTGGTTTTCTGGGAGAGATGTTCATCACCAAAACCAAACTTACTGCCATATGAGTCCAGTGCAACTCATAACAAGTCTATAAACCAGAAAACTTGATTCTCTCTCCTATTTCCTTGCAGTTGTGTTGTATGGCTGCACACATTTTCTACACTTGAGGGAGACCTGCAAGGACGGTGGTAGGCAGAGAGCTGGAGGACTTAGGAGGTTCCTGCTTACAAGGTTGCCTTCCGGTGTCTTCACAGTGAAGAGTCACCCCCATAGATGGCTGGGGTGTGTGTGTGTGTGTATCCAATGAACAAATGGTTAAATGCTTGGCTACTAAGGAAATGCTGGTTACTCAAATTCACCCAGAGGCACCTCAGAAGTCAGTCAGTCTGTTTATAAAAGGTCACAGCTAGCAGTGAATAAGGAAGATGAAAAAAGTATGGTGTTGGTGAAAAATGCTGAACAAATTTGTCTTGAAAGTACAGATTTACCTCTCCTTAGAAGCAAGTCTGATGAGGCCTCGTTTCACACACTTTGGACATGCATCAGGAGAGACCTGTCCCTGGACAAGGACATCAGCTTGATAAAGTAATTGTGGTTGTTCTTAAGTACCAAGGAGTGGAAGGTGGGTTTGAACTGCTGACCTTGTAGTCCAGTGCTTATCCTACAGCAACACCAGAGTGAAGAAGAGAATGAATGAAAAAGAGGAAAGCATCCAACCAGAATAAGTGACAGCATAGCTGCAACAATGAGTTCAGACAGGAACTGCTGCGAGGCTGGGGCAGGACCCGGCAGGGGTTTGTTCCTTCTGTTGTATTGAGGGTCGCTGGGGGTGGAAGCCAATGGCACCTCACCATAACATCTCCCATGTGTGCTGAGGTCACGGAGAAGGCAGCATTCAATGACTTCTCCTTGTTGACTGGCATCTTTTTCTTGTTAGAAAGAGTGAACGGATGTGGCTAAAGTAGCTGGAGTTACCCGAATGTAACCACAAATTCCTCTATGTTTTAATTTCAGATTATAAATATCTTACTGCTGGCACGTTATTGTCATGAAGTGCTGTTGAGTTGGTTCCGACTCATAGTAACCCTGTATAGTGTTTCCAAGGAGTGACTGGTGTTTTTGAACCATCAACCTTGCCGTTAGCAGTCCAGTGCTTATCCTAGCGCCATACCAGGACTAGGATGCAGACACATAGTTGGAGCTTGTGTATGTAACTGAATCCAGCAGCTTCCCTCTGCTCAGTTACTAGTTCTAACATCGGCTCTGCACACTACATTGGGTTTACTGCACTCACACTCACACTGGCATCACGCTGAAATGAGAGCTTGATTGCTAAGAGCTGTTAGCGTCCCTGGTTTCTTTTTCCTCCTGTTTTCTCAGCACCTCCAGGACAAGGAGGAAGTGAAGTGGGGATGTTGGCATCTCTGTTTTATCCTAGAACAAGAAGGATGTGTTCAAGAGTTCATCCTGAAGATGATGTAAAGTGCGGTCCTGCCTCTTCCCCATAATCCTCTGGTAATCCCTCCACAGTGGGTAGTTCGGTTGTGTGAAAAATCAGCCTCACAGTGAGCATGCACGGCCTGCTCTTCATCAAAGGTGAGCAAACTCCCTCTGGGTCCTGACCTAACTGTGCAGCCTGGCTTCCCCTGCCAGCACCATTGTCCCCAGGTGGGGCTCTGCCTGTCCAGCTGTGTCCTCTCTGCATGTGTGGCTCTGGCATCTCTGGGCTGGCAGCCGGTTCTGAGGCTCAGGATCTGGAGGACTAAGTGGGTGCCATGATAGCTCGGGAAGCATCTATGACTTTGGTATGTAATCCATTTTTTCCGGGCTCACAATAGAAGGGATGGCTTTCCACTGCCTCCCGCATCCTCTTTGTACTTTCCCAAGCCCAAGCCTGCGGTTTTCCCCTCACGGACCCCTTCTTTTCACTCAAAGCACCCACATATGGTTTCACTTTTCGCATTCCATCTTGTTAAAAAGGTGCCTATTTTTTACATCTTTCATAAGAACAAGTTTGGTCTTTAAATTGTAGCCTTATTTTCATTTACTGATATTCACTCTTTCTCTCTTTTTTTGGGTGGGGGGGAGTGGCAGACATTGTAAATGTGACCTTGCTGAATACCTGGATTTGGGTCATTTATGTGCATTGTTGTTGTTGTTGAGTGCTGTGGAGTGCGTTGTGATGCATACTGACCCTGTATAGGGTTTCTGAGGAGCAGCTGGTGGGTTTGAACTGCTGACCTTGTGGTTAGCAGTCAAGTGTTTATTCTACAGTTTAGGATATGTGTGTGTGTGTGTGTGTGTGTGTGTGTGTGTGTGTGTGTTTATGTAAATTGTATTGACTCAGTGAAGTTTCTTGGAGATCAGTTCATTGGTTGTTGTTAGCTGCCATCAGGACACCCCTAACTCGTGCCAACCCCATGCTGACCCACCACACTGGCCTGGGTAGATCTCAGAAGTAGACGGCAGGCTTTTCTTGTCTTCATCTGGACACTCCCTTGAAGCATGTTGAGCATCTCAGCACCGTGCAAGCCTCCACTGACACTCAGGTGGTGGCTGTACTTGAGGTGTACAGACCAGGAATCGAACCAGGGCCTCCAGTGTGGACGGTAAGAAGTGTACAACTGTACAACCACTAGGCTTGATTTCGTTATTACACGCTGCCTCCTTCCAGTCTGTGTTTGTTCAGTTGTGTTTGAGCTGCATAGGTGAGACACTGTCTACGGTTCTCTGTTCCCCTGACTTCCTCCTCAGGGCCCTCCTGAGTCCAGCTCTCCTCCCCCTTCACCACACATCTGGGATACTTCAGGAATACACTGCTGTAAGCATGGCACACCAGGGGGCTCCAGAGAAGTTCATGGAAAATGGAGTTCAGAGACCATGGAATTTCTCCGTGAACTTTTTGAAGGTTAGTTCTCGAAGGAAAAGCTGGGCTGCCCCCCAGCAGTTCTGCTAGGCAACATTCAGACAGCTACTCCCCAACATGACTGCTTCTGGGAACTAAAATTCTTCATCAGACTATCATGGTCTATCTGTCCAACCATGCGGCTTTTGTCGTCTGTACTTTACTGTGAGCTTCGGCACTGTGCTTGGAGCGTGCCCTCATCCAGACCATGATAACAATCTAAACACAGAGAACAGGACAAAACCATCAGATGCCCTTGTTGACAGTGTCCTCTCTGTGGATGCATCTGGTCAACGGTGCCCACTGAGCACAGGAGGGAGTCCATTCACCTGGACCCCCCCCCCGCTGTCAAACTGTGTGTTTAACACAGAACACAGCTGCAAACACCCACCAGCCTTAAGAGCACAGTCTCCCACAGGTAGTTTGTTCAGGACAAAGCCAGAGAGAACGCCCCACGGCTGGCCTGCTTCCGGCCCCCCTTACCTCTCCAGGGTATGTGCCTTGTCAGCAGATGAGGGGCTGGTGGAGGTGGCCAGCACACAGCAGCAGCCTCCAAGTCTTCAGACACGATTCCTCAGCCGGGAAGGCAGGGAAGACCATCCTGGTGGTGAGTGGCCACTCTGAAGACACTGCCTTTACACCGCTGGCCTCTTGCGTGTGGCTTGCAGACAGGCTGCAGACTAGCATTGCCCTGCAAGCCCACCATGGTTCACAGATGCTGTGAGGAAGGGAATGAAGGCAGGAAAGAAGAGAGAATCCAGGGAACTTTGGGGGAATGGGTGCAGGGAA